TCGCCACCGCCCCCATCAATCAACCCTTTTCAAAACCAATCTGCATTGCCAGGTAGCATAGGGAATAATTGCTCACCTTCAAATTCCTCTTCCCTTTTCTCCTCCATTGTGTCCGGCTTTTGTAGTCAAGCTGAATCGCGAAGCATCAAGGCTCATCCGCGACATTTCATGCTATGGTACGCTCAGTTCCCACCTCTATCACCTCAGAGTTTCTTTCGCTTCACTATTTTTGTTATATTTTAATTTTTTTTTGTCATTGCTCACTGACCTGGGGTTTCTCTGATGATTCATATAATTCTTTGATCGTAAAACATTCTTTGCGTTTGGTTCCAGTCGTATAGATCCAATCTATTGACTTTTCACTCCGTCATTTTCTGTTTGGGTGCGATGAAACTAGTTGAAAATGAAGGCAGGGAAAGGAAAATTTCTCTTATGATGGCGCTTGTTGCTTTGCTTTTAGTTGCAAGAAACTAGACTTAGTGAAGCTGGATTGTTGCTTTAGGGTTTTTCATTTATTTTTAGGTGGTTCTAGATTTTAATATGTTATCGTTCATTTGAAATTCCTCAGTGAACAAATGCCCATTCCTTAGGTGATTATTAAAAGTCAAGAATTTTGTTAATTGCATCGTTAAACTTGGATGTGGCTGATATTTTGGCATCAAGGAAGTAATTTCTACATATGACTCTCAGAAAGATGGATTAATTTTGTTCAGATAGAAGTGGACTTTAGATTAGATGGACTGAGGAATTTGTAAATAAAACTGATGGTGTTTTGTTCTTTTCTTCTCTTTCTTTTTGTTGTTGTTGGCTGTAGTGAGTTAACTGGTATTATTGCTACTCATTTCATTTGTTATATGTTAGCACCAAACTGTTGTTATTGCTTGTCAATTTATTTGTTATGATTTGTCAATAAGTAGGCATCCAATGGATCTTCACTGGTACTGTTTTTATAGCCCTTTCCAATGTCAGTTGCATCATGCAAACATGATTGTTGCTTCAAATTTGCTATTATTTTCTTCTCAAGTGTTTTTGGGTTATTGTTAGATATATTTCAAATAATTAGATCATTTCATGGAAGCTAGAAACGATGATTGGTTTACATCCTACAGTCTTTGGGAATATTACTTTATGAAAGGAAAAAAAAGGGATATTAATAGTTGTTCTGGATTTCTCTGCATAGGCACCCATAAAGGGCATTCTTTCCCTACAAAGGGCTGCTTTGTTCAGAAATAGCAGTGAGAGGTGGGGTCTAGGCATTAGATCATTTAGTACTCAAGGAGCAACAACTACTGGTGCTCCACAGCCTCCCCCTCCTCCCCCACCACCAGAGAAGACCCATTTTGGTGCTCTAAAAGATGAAGACCGTATTTTCACCAACTTGTATGGGTTGCACGACCCTTTTCTCAAAGGTGCTTGGAAACGTGGTGACTGGCATAGAACCAAGGATTTAGTACTCAAGGGTGCTGATTGGATTGTCAATGAAATGAAGAAGTCTGGACTTCGAGGACGTGGTGGTGCTGGATTTCCATCAGGCCTCAAATGGTCTTTCATGCCAAAAGTATCAGACGGCCGCCCTTCGTATCTTGTTGTCAATGCTGATGAAAGTGAACCTGGAACCTGTAAAGACAGGGAAATCATGCGGCATGATCCACACAAACTATTGGAGGGCTGCTTGATTGCTGGGGTAGGGATGAGGGCTACAGCTGCTTATATCTACATAAGGGGTGAATATGTGAATGAACGTAAAAACCTTGAGAGAGCTAGAAAAGAAGCTTATGAAGCTGGACTTTTGGGTAAAAATGCATGTGGTTCTGGTTATGATTTTGATGTTCATATCCATTATGGTGCTGGTGCTTATATTTGTGGTGAAGAAACGGCACTTTTGGAGAGCCTTGAAGGGAAACAAGGGAAACCTAGATTGAAGCCTCCTTTCCCTGCTAATGCCGGATTATATGGCTGTCCCACCACTGTCACAAATGTGGAAACAGTGGCTGTTTCTCCTACAATACTGAGACGTGGTCCAGAGTGGTTTGCCAGTTTTGGGAGGAAGAATAATTCTGGGACAAAATTGTTTTGTATCTCAGGTCATGTAAACAAGCCTTGCACAGTTGAGGAGGAGATGAGTATACCACTTAAGGAGTTGATAGAGAGGCACTGTGGAGGTGTCAGAGGTGGATGGGACAATTTACTTGCAGTAATACCAGGAGGTTCATCGGTTCCACTTTTACCTAAGCACATCTGCGACGATGTTCTGATGGATTATGATGCACTCAAGGCTGTCCAGTCAGGGCTGGGAACTGCTGCTGTAATTGTGATGGACAAATCAACCGATGTTGTAGATGCAATTGCAAGGCTTTCTTACTTCTACAAGCATGAGAGTTGTGGACAGTGTACACCCTGCAGGGAAGGGACTGGATGGCTATGGATGATCATGGAAAGACTGAAAATTGGGAATGCAAAGTTGGAAGAGATTGACATGCTTCAGGAGGTGACCAAGCAGATTGAAGGGCACACAATCTGCGCTTTGGGTGATGCAGCAGCTTGGCCTGTGCAGGGTCTTATAAGGCATTTTAGGCCAGAGCTGGAGAGAAGGATTAGAGAGCGTGCAGAAAGGGAGTTGCTGGAGGCTTCTGCTTAATTTCTGCTCAGGTTGCTTCTGGCACCTTTTTGGCTTTAGTTTTGTTGGGGCTTTTTTCATCTAAAATTTGAAGTACTCTTAACTTGAGTGATTTGGCATTGGCATTTGTAGTTATCAATTTCCATTTGTTATGTGAAAATGTTCACTTTCTCTTGAATTATGTAATCTGTTGTCCATCTTCTTGGTCTGTCATGCACAATATGCATACTGGCATCACTTACTGTATGCAGGCACACATGATTTATTCCATGAGGAAGAAAGAAAAATGGCGTTTGATTTGTAATATGTCTGCAGATGAATGATTGAGAATTAACTTAGTTCTTTTATATCCTAAAGGAATTTATTTTGTTTTTCCCTTCATATTGTCTGGGGACCCTCCCTCTAGTTACTTTTTTTTTTTTGCTTCTAAAAACTGTAAAAGATGTTCCTTTTATTAATCCATTTCTCGTTTCTCTGGTCACTCAACTATGTTTTTGTTAAAAGAATGTGGAAGAAGCGATTTAGAAGAGAAAGTGAAGGAAGGGAGCATATAATACTAAAATTGTTTTAGTTATTTCAAGGGGAAAATGCCATGTAGAACACATGTTTAATGACGTGGTGCTTCCTTGGTCTTACATGCAGAACAATCACCTGTATTCTTGTCCTTTGTATACTCTTTTAGAGCATTTTCAATCAGCTCCATGGAACCATGCAGTTAGCATCCAAAGTTTAACTAGTTATCTCATGCTATGTAGGGAAATTCCTCTGCAAGTGGCTATTCCGGAATAAGATTGAAGTACCCAAAAATTGGAGGATACGTGACTCAGGCATCTGGTGGTCTGTTAGTATTTTGTTTGTTTTCTCCTAAGCTGTACTGACAACATTTCACTGTCTGAGAAAATAATGAATGTCTCTAATGTCTGGGCGGGGATACTTATGTTTCATAGCATCCACAACTTTTTCTTTTTGGCCCGTTTGAGAAACATTGTTAATGATATCTATATTCTTTCTGCTTTGACCATATAATGGTATCTATATTTTGCTGTGTTATAGGTGCAATTCATCTGGTAACTAACAATAGGTTAAAAAACGTTACCAGGAAATTGAAATAAAAGTTGTACAGTGCAGATATCCCAAAATGAAATGAAAACAACTTGAATTGAATATAAATATGCAGCAGAAAGAATAGCTTGGATGGGTTAGGCTAAAAGGCTGGACCTAGGTTGAGGAAGTTCGGATATTTGTCCTAAAAAGCTTGAGCTTGTTAACAAGCATGGCCCAAACATTAGTTCCAGTTACTGGGGTCCTGTTAGACTTTGGGTGATCCGTCAATGAATCTGGAACATGCATCACTGCTACTTTTATGGTCAGTGAAAATTTTCAACCCCTGTCAGCACATGGGGGGATCCTTTAACGAGGCAGACAACAACCAGGAGGGATCTACCTAAATACTGGTTAAAGCAGCGATTAGCACAGAAAAACTGTGAAAAAGTGTAATGTCCAATTTAATGCTCACATCAGGCAGATTTCATAAATATTAATAGGCTTTTGTAGAAGCTCTCAAGCATGAGGCATCTACTCTTACTCATGTACTTCTAAGGCAGCTTAAGCATAAATTCACCCAAGTGATTTGAGGATACATAGAGTAACAGCAGAGGTTAAATTAGGAAAAAATGATTAGCAATGAAGTAGTTTTCGTGGTCAAAATGGAAGATGAGAGAGTAAATATGCTAGGTCTGGCTCTGATTTCACATCAACTATATTGTAAAAGTTGTCAAGCTGTAGTCAATTCAAGCATATTGAATATTGATGGCCGAAAGGAAATGTCCTTGTTTGTCTGATAATGAATGTTCTTATCTTTATTGTTGAAAACTTTTGAATTAATTATACAATTAAAAGGTTGAATAGGAAAAATAGTAGTTAGATGACCATATAAAACAGAGTATTTTGAAGATTTCAAATAATCAAGTCAATCATAGAATTAGAATTGTAAACGATATGGTTTCATAATTAAATAGGTAGCACAAGTACATGACCTACCCAATTTGGTTCAATTGATAGCGTTATATGGTTTACAATTTTGAATAAGGGACCAGATAAAAAAAAATTGGAAATTCCTCAATTTTGGAAATTTGAATAACCGATACCAAATAACCGTTAACAAATGATAAAAATAATTATCCCGAGGTTAATTTACTTTTAAATAATTATTCCAAAAATACTAAATCTAACTTCTTTACAATAGTAATTTTTTTTTTAACAAAAGAAAAAGGTGAAAACTGACAATCGCTCTCGATTGCATTTCACTGTCATGCATGGATGTGGTAACCGAAAATGGAAAGACATGGCAGCAACAACAACAAGAAGAAGTAACTTAAGCAACAAAGATTAAAAAAAAAAAAAAGAAACTTCCTCTTTCTACTCCTAAAATTGCGACTTCTCTTACTTCCAGCTTTTTCAAACCCATTGTTCACAATTCGACTCTTCACAACCCAAAAACAGTAACATATCCCCAACTTCCCTCTCCTTACCAACTTTTCTTTTATAAACTTTTTCTTCTTCGTTTTTCTCTGACTCTTCAGCTGCCCCGAACTTTGTCTGCAAGTACATTTCCGCTTTCGTTTTGTTTGTCTTTTTTTTTTTTATAATTTTCTTTTTAATTTTTGTTTTTTGTTTTGTTCTCTGGATCTGATGTTTTGTCTATGACTTCGTTTTTTTTCTTTTTTTTTTTACTTTAATGATGTTTGCATGAAGTGGGTTGCTTGTCTTTTGTCTATCTGATTCATAGATTCGTTGCAGTGACGATTACCAGCTTTATTTGATTGCAAATGTGAACTAATACTTAAATGTAAATTTCTGTTTCTTCCTTTGGTTTTACTGTTTCAATTGACACTTGATTCCATCTTCATATGGTCAGCCATGTTTATCTAAGACATTTTAATTTGTATTTCTTTTGACTCTGTCTTTAGTTTTAGGCATAAAGTAGCAGGCTGTTAACTTGTTTTTTTTCCATTCTTTTTCCAATTTTGTAACTTTTTTTGTTGGCTATTTAGTGGTGGAAGTCCTCTTCAGGTTCGTGAACTAATCCTTTTAGTTTGGTAAAGAAACATTTCTAATGAACTTGATGGTGGAGGGTATAATACTAAAAATTGTGTATAGACCCTCGCTCTATTTTCAGTTTGATTCTTTCTCTTTTCTGCTTTGGGTTGTTAAAAAGTCAGTTTTCCTGGCAAACTCTCAACTTTCAAGTTGTTCCATTCATTTGCTTTTCTCTTCTGGAACATTGTAATATTTGTTCATTCTCTTTCAATAAATACTATTTCTGATTTTGTTTTTCTCCTGAATACAGATCTTTAATGCATATAGTTTTCATAAAGGTGGAGGCACTTTGACTGATCATATCGATCAAGAGTGAAACTGGTATTTCTTGGAAGTTCGAACAATGGTTCTTGGGCTAAGAAGTAAGAACAGAAAAGGCAGCTCATTTCAGGTTGATTACATTGTATATGTAAAGGAGATTAGTCCTTGGACCCCATCGCAGTCTCTGCGATCAGTTCAATCTGTTTTGCTTCAATGGGAAAATGGTGATCAGAGTTTTGGGTCCTTAACTTCTAGCATTGGGAGTGGAAAAATTGAGTTCAGTGAGTCTTTCAGGCTTCCAGTAACTCTATGTCGGGAAGCATCCCGTAAGAGCACCAACCGTGATAGTTTCCAGAAGAACTGTTTAGAGTTTTATTTGTTTGAGCCTCGGAAGGACAAGGTGGCTAAAGGCCAACTTTTAGGATCTGCTGTTGTAAACCTCGCAGATTATGGGATTATCAATGAAACTATAACCATTAGCATTCCAATTAGCTTAAAAAAGAGTTCAAGGAACACACAACAGTCAGTTCTTTATCTTAACATCCAGCCATTTGATAGCTCCAGCTCATCAACAAAAGGCAGCTTGTCAAAAGATGTGTCACTAGACAAGGATGGAAGTGAATCTGTTTCTGAATCGATAAATGAAGGAAATGATGAGGAACCCGAGATTGCCTCTTTTACTGATGATGATGATCTTTCCTTACATTCATCCCAGACTATTTCTTCTGCCATTTCTGATCCTTCTAGAGAGTTACATAGTCAACATGAAAAGGTACTTAAGTTCATCATTTTCCTATTGTTCTTTGTTTCCATTATCATTGAACTGTTTCTTTACAAGGTTGTGTATTTTGGCAATGCAATGTTAACAGTTGTTGTCTCTGAATTTGGGCTGTAGAATAGATTGGTTTAGGATTTCTGAAATTGACTTGGCAGACTTGGGATCTTTAAGCATTGCCATAGATAGAGTTTTCAGGGACTTAACACCATGCAACTAAGAAACAATCATGATTTCACATTCCCATATGCTATGATTGGTGGTGTTAGTTGAAATTGTATTTATCATGCATATGCATTTCTGAATACTTACAGCTAAAAAATTGTACTGGATTTTTGTTTTTAGTTCTTTTTATTGTATTGTGAATTTGGGACAGGGGGTTTCAACTTGGGACCTTTGTTGAGGCAATGAATGGCTGGCAATTAGGCCATGCCTCAGCCTGAAAATCACTAGGAGCAATAATATGAGTGAAAATTATATTTGCGGTGATTAATTTTTAGGTATGATCCCTCTTTAACCATTACTCAAGCATATCTGTTAGTTTTGGGCAGACAGTGGATGCCAGTTTCTTATCTACCATCATGATTCTATTCTAAGAGGACTGTAGTAGTCCTGGTTAATTTGGTGGCTGTCATCCTACTATCAAAGCTAGTTTTTCTGAATGTTTAATAGCCACTCGCTATTGACTACAGAATGAATCAGAATCAGCAAAAGGTGGAATAGGAAGGCTTGGGCTCACTCTTCCTTCGGGTGGAACACCAGCAAACTCAGGGGTAAGACTAGTGGCTGAAGCATTCAAGCAAGTAAATGAGAATATATCTCCTTCATCTTCAATGGACTTGTCCTCAAGCGCAGGGAATCTAGTAAATGATCCCATGGGTAAAGTTGCATCCTCAGAGGTGTGTGTTACCATTCCAGTAGATACAAACTTAGACCATGTAAAAGACAAAGACTCCCATACCAACAGAGAGGGTGATAGAAAAGCATGGAAGCATGATAAAAGCCATGTAGACAGATCTTTAAGTAGCAATTCACATGTTGGTCATTGGAAGGAAAATGAGGAAAAGACACCATTGGAGAATGAACTGGATAGCCAGATTTTGGATTCCAAGAAATATTCTTTGGAGGACAGGTTAGGTTTTAGACCACCTCAAGATTCTGTGAGAAAGCAAATCAAAATGAGGAGTAAAACTTTTGCATCCAGCTGGGCAACAACTGAAGTGCAAGGTGGTTACACTGCAAATGATACACAAAAGCATGTGACACCTGCTCAGTTACATTTTGACAAAGCTAAGAGTAATGGACTGTCAAACAAGATTCAGTTTGTGGAGAAGGCAAGCGAAAATGATATTCTTGAGAAGATTCCTAATGGTGCCACAAGTGATGCACTTGATGAAAGGGAAGAAACTAGCAAAGTTGACTCAGCTAAGAGTTATGGGCTGCTAAACAAGTCTCAGTTCATGGAGGTGGCTAAGGAAAATGATATTCCTGAGAAGATTCATAATAGTACTACAATTGATACAAAGAATGAAAGTGAAGAAAATGCAAACAGCTTTTCCAATGGCAAAGTTGAATTGGAGTCCAAAATTGAAATGCTTGAAGAAGAATTGAGAGAAGCTGCTGTTGTTGAGGCTAGTCTTTATTCCATTGTTGCAGAGCATGGGAGTTCTACAAACAAGGTTCATGCTCCAGCTAGACGACTTTCTAGATTCTATCTTCATGCTTGTAAAGCAAGTACCCAGGATAAGAGGGCAAGTGCAGCGAGGGCTGCTGTTTCAGGATTGATTTTGGTCTCTAAAGCATGTGGGAATGATGTTCCGAGGTGTGCATTAACACTTTCTCTAATTTTTTCATTTTAAAAAATGAATCTGGCAGATTTTAGCTTCTATCTTTCCTATTGTCAGAGATGTTAATTTGGTTTTAATATTGTAGAAAACAAAATCTGGTTAACTGTGGCACTTAGCTGATAAATGTAGTTTTGTTCTCATACTTCTTTGCATCTTTCTATCCTTATAGTTTTCTTCTTATTTATTGAAATGTTCTCTTTGAGTGTGTGCCTCTTTTTTTTCTTACCTGGCATACATTTGATCATTCCTTTTCCATTATTCATAGGTTAACCTTCTGGTTGTCAAATTCAATTGTATTGAGAGCCATTCTTAGCCACGCTATTGAGGAAATGCAGCTATTTTCTGGACTGCGCTTAAATCGTAGTAGGGGTGGAAAGGTCTTGGAGGATGCCTCGTCTCTGGATAAAGAGGAATGCAATTTAATGGAAAGTTCTGATGACTGGGTGGACCCTCGAACATTTTTACTTGCATTGGAAAAGTTTGAAGCTTGGATCTTCTCCAGAATAATCGAGTCTGTCTGGTGGCAGGTTAGTCCGTTCTTTTAAAGCTTACAGCATAGCTTCTTCAGAGGTCATACCTAACATTATTTCCCTCTATATGCTTTCCAGACTTTGACTCCACATATGCAGTCTGCTGCTGCAAAGAGCTCGCACTCAAGGAAAACCTCGACCAGGAGATATGGATTAGGTGATCAAGAGCAGGGGAATTTTTCAGTTGAGCTTTGGAAGAAGGCTTTCAAAGATGCCTGTGAGAGGCTTTGTCCCATTCGAGCATGTGGGCATGAGTGTGGCTGCTTAGCTGTGCTGGCTAAATTGGTATTATGATATATTGTAGTTTCTTTTCACGTAATCATAAAAGACTTGGCCATACTTGGATCTTATGCTTCTTTATGTTCATAATGTCTCTTTGCAATATGATGGGGCTATGTCCTTATTGCTATGATTTGAATTATCTAATTGATAATGTCGTTGAAATGCAATTTGACAGAAACATTTTTTTCTGTTTCATCATTAGGTCATGGAGCAATTGGTGGGTAGATTAGATGTTGCAATGTTTAATGCTATTCTTCGTGAATCAGATGAAGAAATGCCAACAGATCCTGTTTCTGACCCCATAAGTGATCCAAAGGTTCTTCCTATTCCTGCTGGCAAATCAAGCTTTGGGGCAGGTGTACACCTAAAAAATGCTGTGAGTGATGGATTCCTCTTTCTACAGAGCTGCTTTAATACTTATTTGCCTCCCTGATGTGCATGATAGGAACCTGTTTCAATATATTCGCAGGGAAATCCTCCTCCCACCCCACCCGCCATATCTTTCTACAGATGTTAATATGCACATAAAAAATATGCATTTAAGGACCTTTGGCCTAAAATTGACCTGCGGAGACAGTTGACTGTATTAATACCTGCATTCTTGCCTATTAATATGCTTTACCTTCTTTTTTTTTTCATCAACATATCTGACCGTTTATAGAAAAATTATTCACCTAAGGGCAAGCCAAGTGTTTCCAACTTGTGATTTCTTGACCCAAATGTTTTATCAACAGATAATAAAACATTGAGACTAGGCTTTGAAATTGCTTCACAGAAGTTCCTTTAACAATGACAAAGTACAAAAATTTACTGCATATAGCATTTGATTAAAAGGATCCTTTTCTGTTGACCTTGTGTTACCAGGTTGGAAACTGGTCAAGATGGCTAACAGATCTATTTGGTATTGATGATAATGATGGTCCTGAAGATAACAAGGAAGTTGGTGACGACAAAAATGCTGGATGTGAGGCATCCTTCAAGGCTTTCTGTCTCCTAAATGCATTGAGTGATCTCATGATGCTTCCATCTGAGATGCTAGCAGATAGGTCCATGAGGAAAGAGGTATAGTTCTGGAATTCTTATTATTATTCTTTTAATTCAGTAATATGTGTGTGTGTTCTTATGTACCTAATTCCTCTTGCCTCTTCTGCATTCCTATCTGTTAATCTCATCTTCCTTTCCAAATTTGATTCTTGAAGGTTTGCCCCAAGTTCAGTGCACCGCTAATCAGCAGGGTTCTTAACAATTTTGTATCTGATGAGTTCAACCCTAACCCAGTTCCAGAGGCAGTTTTTGAAGCATTGGATGAGGTTTGTCATGTCATAAAACCAAAGACGTATACTTAAATAAAATTTCTACTTCATTTATCACCCTGCACTGGTGCAAGTTTATGTTGCCCCTCACTGGTTTTCCTGACTGATCCATTTTCTCTTATTTAGGACCTTTCTGAGGCTGGGGAAGAGTCTATCAGAAACTTTCCATGCATGGCTACTCCTACAGTCTATTCACCACCCTCCACAGCTTCACTAACAGGCATCATAGGAGAGGTCGGAAGTGAAGCCTTGCAAAGGAGTAGGTCATCAGTGCTTAGAAAATCATACACCAGTGACGATGAGCTTGATGAATTGGATTCACCCATCACCTCAATCGTTATCGAGAACCCCAGGGATTCTCCCACTTCAAAAGCACCCAACTGGATGCGAATGGGAAAGGGTGGCCGGAGTGTTGTGAGATACCAACTTCTCCGAGAGATATGGAAGGATGGTTAACAGCCCCCCTTCTTCGCTGAACATGTTTTTGTATATATGCACGTGATTATAGGCTGGCGTGTTAAAGTCGGTGAGTTTTGTTGGAGTTGAGCAGCAGTTGTTATTTCCTTGAATATCATCGTACATATACTAGAAACTACAGAGTCGAATTGTCTATGGCATCTGGCTGCTAATAAAATTGAGATAATGCAAAAGAGAAGGTGTTTTAAATTTTCTTCACGTGCATGGCTCTTTTCTTTCCTTGCCCTCTTCCATCAGTCTTCTCCTCCCCTGTTTCTTTTTAATGTCAAATGGCTCTTAGTTCAAGCATATCCTCGAGGCTTAAGGACCTTCCATTGTTGAACAGTTGATTACTCTCCTCTATGATGCGTAGAGTGGAGTGGAGACAAAATCTTGGAATTATTTGTTCCAGAAATAGTGGTGGCATTTCAGGTTTCGCAGGCTGTGTTCGTGTCCAACGGTTGGGTTGGTTTTTTTCAGTTTATGCCTAAATGGTTTCAATTTTACTTTCAAATTATCACTTTCTTAAGTGTGATTTTGATTACTTTAATGTAGAAATTATTGTTAACAAACATAAAAACATTTCTTCCAAAATAAAAACATAAAAACATAATAAAATTATAATAATCTTACCTTTCTTCCTTCTTTTAATCCTTGTTAAGGTGGGCTAAACCTTATCTAAATAATAATTTCAAACTATTAACCTAAATTTAAGTAATGCAATGAAGAAATTTAAACAATGATCAATGTTTAACTTAAAATTAGCTATTTTACCGTGTGCAAATTGTGGTTGGGCCTTGAAAGTGCTTAAACCAGCCCTTCCTTACTGGCAGCCCAGCTGAGTTTAACACTTTTTTATATAGGCCCGGTGAAGCCAAAAGAAAGACACTCACTTTTCTCTTTAAAATGTCACTTCCAGGCGCCGACTCGGGAACCGGACTCACTCTGTCACTCGGGAACCAAGGCTCCGAGTCCGAGGTAGAAACGAAAGAGAAACTGAGAAAGGGAGAAGGGAAAGCATGAAAGGGAAATCAGTTTTCCGTCCGTTTCTTCTCCGTGAAGCCTTCAATTTCCGGTCGATTTCTTCTTCTTCTTCGTTTCATCTGAACCAAAATTATTTAATTTCAACCCCAAAAACAAATTCTTCAATCCCCAGCAAACTCTCTTCAAATTCCATCCCAGAAAAATTTAATCTATCCAGTCCCTTCTCGAACTTTTCGAGAGCTTTTTGCTCAGTACCCCCACCTCAATTCGAAGAAGATTCATTGCCAGGTAATTTTTTTATCATCATCGAATTTTTATTGCATAAAATGTAGAATGTGCTTTGAACAGCCAAAAACCAAAAAAAAAAAAAACACAAAAGAGTGAATTTTTTTTTTTAAAGAAAAGTTTGGTTCTTTAATTTCAGTTCCGCCAAATGTTGTCCCCATTAAGTCAGAAGAAGAGTTCAACGCTGCACTTAGCAAAGCTGAAGGGGAATCCGTGCCGGCTGTTTTCTATTTCACTGCTGTATGGTGCGCTCCTTGTAAGTTCTTCTACCTCTTTATTCTTTATATATATATGTATATATATGTAAATTTCCTATGTCAAAAGGCATTGGCTTTGTTACATTAATATTTGTTGTATGCCATCTTTGTAGGCAGATACATCTCTCCGGTCATGGAAGAGTTGGCTCGGAGAAACCCTCACGTGACAATGAATAAGATTGATATCGATGAGGTCAATAACGGTTTTTTGTTGTTTAGCTTTGTAATTTGCAGGATGCCATATATTTAACCATAAAACTTTTTTTTTAAAAAGAACCTACTGTATTGTTGGGATTTAGATTTAGGTATTCTTCCATATGTTTCATGTTTTAGATTGCAAATGTTGGAGTCAAATTTCTGTTATTCTATTGAAGGGCTCATTATATACTATTGATAGTAGTTTCACTTTGAATTGACCTATGCTACTCAGACTTAGGGGGTGAGTGTCAGACCTGGGTATGTTGTTCAAGTATATTTAATTTTTTCTAAGCTTTTCCTTGTATTTGGAAGATCAGAGTGTGTTGGATATGTGTTGGACATGGGTACTTCAAGGAAAATGAATAGGCAGAGCAACATAGAAAATTACTTCTTGATAACATGAGTATATCTATTTCGGTTATTCATGTATTAGATCATGATGATTTGTACAGGGTTTTTTTTCGGAGACAATAGTATGATGCTGTTTCATGTTTGAGACTGAAAATTTTAAATGATTTTAACTTAAGAAAAGGCGATATCTTAGGGATTTCATGTGAAGCTTTCTTGTGAACAGTTATACGTCCTACCAACTGGATTTTATGATGCCATCTTCATATATAAATTTTGTAAGTAGTACCTGAGAAAGCACTTGAATGACATGGACCATGCATACTTTGTTCTAATTTAAATTTTTTTTTTGTTTATTTTTTCTTTGGGCCTTACTGATTATAATTAGAAGCTAAAATTCTTCTTCTTATTATTATTATTGTTTTGCATTTGGGAAGCACTATTCTGACAATATATATTAGCTGGAACTAATGTTGTTAACATGATGCAGGAAGGCCTTGCAAGCACATTGACAAAGTTAAATATTGCCGCTGTGGTAAGTAATTTCATTCCTGAGAGAGAGAGAGAGAGAGGTGTAGCAAATGGTTTTTGCTATTATTCTCTGTTCTCCTGGATGGTGAGACTTGAGAGACTTGTTAAACATTTGTTGAATGAGTTTGGTTTTTATTTCTAGTTACAGTTTAAAATCTTAGTTTGGGTTTTGGTTTAATTTTAAGTTCTTTTTATAGTTATGATTAGTATACTTAGTAATTTTATAAAATATTAAGATGTCTATATTAATTATAATTATTGGTTATATCAGAGGTCAACAATAAGTTTCTTCTTCTTCACTTTTTGAAGTATTTTGACTGCCTCAGTTGTCAAATTAGATTTTAAGTGTTTGATCTCTGCCTGCCATTGCAACTTTATTGTTCAGATAAGATAATTTCAATTATAGCTTGGTATATTAAGTTTCCGAGAGTGCTGTCTATTGTTCATATGAACACAAATTCTTTCTTCTTGAGCTTAGTTTGCATCTTTGGCTACAGCCGACTGTCCATTTCTTTATAGAAGGCAAAAAGAAGGATGAAGTTGTTGGTGCTGATGTTGCGTGTATTGTTCAAACTATGAACAAACTCTATATGAAGTAAGAACTCTTTGTTGTCTATATTTCCTAAGTTTTCTAACAGAGTACATATGTACAGTACAGATTTTTCTGCTTTCTTGTATATTATGCAGTTGATATAATGTTTTTTCCATAATTGTTAAATCGAGATACATATCATGTATCGTATTATATTGTAAAATTATTTAAAAAATTTTAAAATTAATTATAAATAACATTTATACAAATAAAATAAAGAAAAAAATTTTAAAGTGTTATATTTATTAATAGAATTGAAGATTACAGGGTATAAATTGAAAAGATGATTTTTTTTTAATCTAAACTCTCAACATATTCTTTAATAATATATATTTTTAAATAAAATATGTATTTTTCATATTAATTTATTAATCAAAAATTAAAAACACTAAAATCAAAATTTGATATTTTTTTGTTTAAAATCTAAATTTTAAAAGTTGAAAATTATAAAAAATAGGCTTTCATGTTTTAACTCAAAAAAAAAAAAATTGAAGTTTTAATAATCAGTCAGAATTATGCTTATAAAAAGCATATTGATCGTATCGTAACATACTTATCATACGATACACTTTAGATATTTGATAAAATGCGATACGATTATTGATATGTATCATTTTTTGCTAATATCATATCATACGATACGTTCAACGTATTTTACAATATTGATAATTATATTTTTCTCAATTATTCAATTTCTTTATTCTGGCTGAATTTGTACATTCTTGTTCTGCATAACTGGAAACTTTTTGATAGTCTAGTGTTTTGATTTCTAAGGGCTGTCTTTAATGTGGTTCATATAATGGTTTTTCTTTGAACCTGATCTTGTGTAGAGGTACGAGTTGAAATACTTTTAAATTTGATTGAATCATATCAACGCCATTCGCTAGTACCTTTATTTAAAACTTGGTTTAAATTGTGTTCATGTGTTGTGTTAAATGAATATTTTTAATAATTACTTAAGTTAAAAAATCCTGACAATGGAACAGTTTATTTTGTTTGGAGTTGCTGTTAGCTGTGGTTTGAATGCCAATAGGAAGTGTGCATGCTGTATGTGCTATTATAAGTTTAGATTCTGGATAAGTTTTCACTCTTTTGTTTTATTTTCCAGGAAGAATGATTGATGGTTAGAGATAAATGCTATTCGACGAGCAAAAGGAAAACATAAATGATGGTAAGATTCCCTTGTCGGACAGTAGGCTTCTTTCACCTCCCTCCACATGCTGATTTTGCTTTAAACTTTTAAATTGCCAAATTCTTCCTGTAGAAGGCTGAATTTCTATTCAGGTTGTAGATTAATATGCCTACTTATCATTTTTGTATCGTATTTGATTAAATATTAAAAACATATCGTATGATATGCAATACATATTTATGATATGAATGTATATCATACCATACAATCGATATAATTTTTATTAATTTTATTGTAATTAATTATTAAATTTTTTTTTTTAGTTTAAATGTAAAAAATTATATATTTAGTTTCAATTTTAAGATTTTAAACAAATAGTAAAATAATTGAATTTCATTTTTAATTTTAATGTGATAAATATTTTTTATTTTTTAATTAATAAATTAGTGTAAAAAAGTATGTTTTATTTAAAAATTTATATTATTAAGAAATATGTCAAAAATTTAAATTAAGAAAATAATTATTTTTTCCATTTACGACTTATAATCTTTTTAAAAAATATAATATTTTTTAATTATATATAAAAATGTTATTTATAATTAATTTTAAAACTTTTTATTTTATTTTACAATATGATAAGTAATATTAAAAAATATGATATTTTAATGCATGATCTGTATTTTGATTTAACAAATATGTTTAGGGTATGTCTATTAGAGTTGTCTTGTGAGCGCCATAAACGTGGCTTCATTTAAGCTCGTGAGCTTAGCCTTGATTGAGGTCGAGCTTGTGCATGATTTTTAAGGTTGGATTCGGTTAAAGAAATATTAAATTTTAAAATAATAATTTAAAAAATTAAGATGTGAAAACATAAATATTTTTAATGTTCTAATAACAAACATAAAATAAAATGGATGGGCTGGATTCGGGCCTCGACTGAAGTTTCTGCTGGTGGGACATTCTCCGCTGTGTTTGGAACTCTTGAAGCTTTAAGTGGTGTAGGGAATGGTATATTTCACTTCACTGAATTCAAATCCAAGACGTGCATGTATGTTGCATGCATGAACGCACGACAGAAAGAAAAAATAAACTTTTGATCGCAAGTTATCATGATAGGCACCATCACCATGTGAGTGACTAAGATGAAACAAGAAAAACAAAGGATAAAATATCTCATACTTTAAATTTTAATCAAAATTTTAAACAAATATATTAATTTTTAAAATAAATATTTTATTTCAAAAAAAATATCTTTAGTTGGATATATAAATTCAGTTATTAATTAACTGTTAATGTTTCTATTAATTTAATAATATAATAATATTAAAAAAATAATTTATTTTTTATTAATTTTAAAAATTATTATTATATAATTTTATTATTATTTTTTAAAAAAAGCCTCAAGCTACCTAAGGAAGCATTCTCTTGGTAGCCTCAATGCTCTCAAGGAGCACCAATCTGATGACTGTCAACCGATCTTAAAGATAAAAAAAACAATAAAAAAAAATTTTAAATATTTCATATTTAACGTTAATAACATTTAAACATTTACGATGAAATATTTATTTTAAAAATTAAAAAAAATTATATAATTTTAATTAAAATTTTAAAAAATGGGTATATTTTACCTTAAAATATAATATCTGAAGAGTGGAAACCATTTTTTTTTGTCATCATGTCATGATGTGAAAGCATAGTCCACACATAAATTGTTAGCATCCAGCTCGATGAGGGAATGATGACAATCTGAAGACTCGACAATCTCCTGCCCCGATTTCGTGCCCCCTCTTTCTTCACCAATAAAACGTTGCCACGTCGCATAATAAAAGAGCAAAGTATTATGTTAAACATTAACAATAAATTCCTTTTAAAAGTTTAATCTTGCACCTCTACCATTTCTCTCTACCTTTTATGGGCAAGGTCAAGGATAATTGATCTATATCACTTCATCAAATTTACAACATTATTTCAAATCCATGAATGACTAATTTACCCTTAAAAACTAAAGGGATATCATTACGTTCACAAAGGCATTACAGTACAGAATTCCCAGCAACGCCAGGTTCACAGTGCAACCATCCCCAATCATCTTCTCTTCCGCCTGCCAAAACCAGCAGTAAAAATTTGTTGGAAGCAAACAACTAACGGTAAATTTTTGGTTAATTACAGCAGATGAGAGCAAGGCCAACAGTTTTCTACCAATGGACTTGCAAAGCTAAAATGATTACAGAACACAAAGTCACAATCGTATTAATACCAATTGACATGCCGCAGTTTTCTACTTTTCTAGCAGATGCATATGGACCAACATAGGAAAAATCGAGGAAACTTTAGGTATATAAAGGTGAAAGGAATCATCCCTAAATTTGTTGGGTTTGCCAGAAGACCTATTTCTAATTTTGATGATCAGGGTGTTAACCTTTGTCAAGCACACACCAACCATGGCATATACATTTGATTAACTGACAGGTATATTTTAAAAGGGGGTGATTAACCAGTAATATGTAGCCAGTTATATTTCATGTTACTTGCAATGACCTTAAAAACAGGTGAAGCAAGATATCTTACAGTTTAGAAGAGGCACTGCTTACTGGACTGCGCAATACATCATAGTGTCCATAACCATGATACAGAACTCCAATAGGGTTTTCCTTACCATACTCTTGACCATACTCAGATATAATTTTGAGGATACCAGAACTCTTCTCCCTCATGTAAACTGTTATTGGCATCCTGTGGAAGAAATATATACATTGACAGATACGAAAGGTTTGATATTTTCATAACTAGAAAGTGTCACTGAATTGAATGGTTAGAATCCCATCCATCTGAGCATCTCAGAGAAACAAAAACAACAAATCACTGGGCTTTGAATTTCAGTTTCATTTACCAAATTCAATTTATTTAGAAGTAATTATTGCTTGTAACAAGTAGGAGGGGCAAAGCCTATCTAAGAAGATTGCTTGGATGATTAAAGTGCAATCTGGTCTTCATAAAATGTGACATAATCAAAGGTCAAACCAGTCTGAAGTTGTGGCCTCAAGAAAAATAAGCAAACAATTGATGACAAATCAAAATATAACATCTATGTAAAACACACGTTCTTCTATTCAATTGACAGGGCAAGACTAATAAAAGAAACCCTACACCAGGTAAGTAGTAATGAAGAATTAAATATATCTTCTACCACATATACATATGAGTGCAGGAGAACTAACACAAGCACACCCTCAAGAAGTTTGAAGCAGAAAGCAAAGAAAACAAAACTCACTGTAGGACATGTGAGCACATGAGCAGCTCAGGTTCTCCTCCCCAAATATGAGGCTGCCTCATCTGCACAACATAGTTGTCAAAATCACCCTCAACAAACCTGCCAAAAGCGTGAAGATTTACTTGCTTGTGGCCTTGGAGTAATCAAGATTTCTGACAAGCTTGTCTCAGGATAGAGCCCTAAAAGTCCTACTTAGCAGCAACAATAGCTCGTAACAAAATTTTCAAGCGTTACTACAAGACAGGTAATAATACCTCTTCAATAACTTTATAAATGATTAAATCTTTTTTGACTAAAATAGTGATCATCATATCCAAGAAACTTCCAACCAACTTACCATTCAGTATCAGCCCTCCTCTTGATGAATTCATCTGCAACCTGTCAAAACATGTAATTCAGATGAAAGGAAAATAAGATGACAGGATAAATTTCTTACAAAGAAAGGACAGGAAAGGAAGACGCACTTGGTGAATGAGAGCCAAAAAAGAAGTTAAAGCAAGAAAGGCATTGCAGCTAACTCAAAATTGAAATGGATTTCACAAAAATCAAATTCTGGAAAAAGGTACAAGTTATATCAAATTCAGTAGCAGGTACAAGAGCAAAACCAAGTGATGCTTATGGTAAAAGACCAACATGCACAGAATAAAAATCTAAGAAACTAAAATTTGCATAAATAGAATCAGCTACGTCAAGTATGAAAACTAGGGAACAGGTGGACAAAAGAATAAGTACGTACTTTAGCTCTGAGCTCATCTGCAAGTTCTTTCTGAAGGCTCTCACTAGGAGACTGCTTCCCTGCCCTCAGCCAAGCACCATGAACTACCGAACGGAACAGACATCTTCCGTCACCAGGAATGCCTGCATTAAACAACAAGCATATAAACTTAAACACATTCATGGTGACAAAATAAATAAATATATTTTCGATGAATAAGTTCAAACATAAACAAATTTGGTGCATATGGAATTAGAGAAAAGCATATATTTCAGTCAACATCAAAGTTTGCAGCACAAACAATCCATTTAACATAATCAAGAAGTCAACGGAAATGAAGAAAAATATAAAGTGCTGTCGTTCCAAAATTCCCTATTAACCAAGATGCTTATCAATGAAGTACACGATTTATTAGTCAAATTCTCAGTTCAAACTTTCAAAAAAAAAAAGAAAAACCCATTTGGCCCTCTAAAGTTACATTTTGATGCAAAGTAAATTAAGGGAAGATTTTCCCACAGCTAGACCGCTAGAGGCTCTTATCTTATCAATAAGACTAAATAATTTAGTAGTCTTCAAAAATATTTCTAAAAGCCAAAAAAAGCATTGTCCATTATTCTAAAGAAAATTTAATTCAAAATATTCATAAATAATGTTCCGAATAAATAAAAAATCTAAAGTATATATATATAAGGCAAACCTTCACCGTATTCCATAATAGTCGCAACGACCTCACAACTTCAAGAGGCAAGGAAAAAGCAAAACAGAAGAACCACTAATCCAAAAAAATATGAAAAGAGAGAATGCAAAACCATCAAAAACAAGTCACGCCATCAGAGACAAGCAAAGAATCTAACTTAACAACAAATTCAGCAAGCAAAGCATCCAAAAATGTAATTAAAATTTTCATTTTTTTTCTTGTTTACAGCCAAAGAAGAAAAAAGGTTGCAGTGTTCGCAAGCCAAAAAGTAAATAAATATCATTCGAAATTGAGGTGGAACGTTACCGATCCAAGTTTCCTGTTTAGGCATTCTTTTTTTTTTTTTTTCCTTTTAATCAAATTTAGAAACAGAACTCTAAAGATCAATCCATTGACGAACAACTTAGGTTTTTTTTTTTTGGTGATTTTTATGAAAAAAAAAAAAGAATAAGAAAATTTACCGGTGAATATAATCTGAGACAGAGCTTGAAAGCGATAAAGAGCAGATTTGACAGAATATTTTTCTAGTTTGCGGTTCCATAGCCAGTATTAGAGAATCCAATTCCAATCCCACGCTCTCTCTCTCTTTCCCGGGATTTTTAATTTCTAATTATGCAAAGCAGGGCGGAGTAAGACGTGGCGCGTCTCTATATTGCCACGTGGAGAGGGAGTGCTTCTAACCGTTGACCATTCTTCCCGCTAAAATTTATGAGGGGCGTTCCTTGGTGCGACTAATTTAGCTAGAAACTAAACTTAAAAAGCAAATAAGAAAAAATAGCACGTATCAATTTTGGTTGCTCTCTTTTACGTTTCAAAGATTCTATTATGAGATATGCCATTTCTTTTGCTATAAATTTGTGATTTGGTTTTCTTGGATTTCTATTTGATCCTTTATCAGTTTGAAATCCTTTCTTGGGTGCTAGTGAATTTATTTTCCAGGGGGGGAAGCCTTTGATGATTGTCAAGGTCTTTGCAATGTCAGCCTTGATAATGGTTTGATACTTGGATTTTTTTTTATTCTTGGATTGGATTTTCTTGTATGAACATTCCTTTGACTCTAACCCACTTGGTTTGGATATCTCAGGAATCTACAGCAGGCACTAGAATGAATTCTAGACGGCGTCCATTGCATACCTGTGGAGTTTCAGCTTTAGCCATCGCTCACAAATCATACATTAAGGCTCAGGATTTGAATGAAGCATTAGGAACAAAGGCGAAAAAGATAGCAACATTAACCTCACTGGTTTCCTCTCTTGTATATGCCCTGCAACATCTCTGGTTAGCCATCCTTTCCTACTTTGACGATTGTATCTTAGCCCTCGAAGACGCAGTTGAGAGCGTTTTCCCACCATCAAAACATGTTTTTAACAAGGCTGATGAGCTTGTCCAGATCATAGAAAAACTGCCTGGAAAGTTTGATAATGTTTTGGACAAATTCCCTGTGATAATCGAGCAAGTTCCATTGCTGGATTGGGCATTAGGCCAGGCCATCTCTTGGTTGAGCATTTTAACCTCATTGTTAACTCAATGGGGTTTAGGAAACGCAAAGGAAAAAGAGATTGTTGTTGATACGGGTTACAATGAAAGCAATCGTGTATCAGCAGCACCAATTGATGAAGCAAAGCGCCCTGCAGAATCCCCATATCATGTTGGCATTAACAATGAGGAAACATTTCCTCCTGTATCTGAAAAACCAAAGACTGAATCAGAAAAGGTTAGTCTGCAAGCTAAGCCAAGTGCTGCAAAAGGAACATACAGAGAAGTATTGGAGAGGAGGAAACCGGAAACTACAGAAAAGAATGAAACAAAAATAGATTCAAAGAAGGATGAGAATCCAAGTGGTACCGATGTTGTGAAGGTTGAGGAAGCTAAGGAGGAAGCAAGTAAAAGAGATGGCATTGTACTGAAGAATGATTCTATCTTAGAGTTATTTGATTCTGGATGGCTTATGAACAATCCAGTAAGAAACGCCATTGGAAGCTCAGTACCACGTTCTGTTTCATATACAGGATTATCTGAAATGGAGGGAACAATCAAGAATCCCAGTTTGTTGTCATTCTGAATATTATACTGCCAATGTTAGCTCATGCGTCTTGTACATTTTAGAATAATTTTCTTCCAATTGTGGGAGCAGACTGGTTGCTGCTGCTTTTCTACATTATGTGAAGTTAAATCCTATATGTGTTCATTGTAAATTTAGGTTCTAAACTCAAGCAGAAATGCAAAATAAGGAGAAAACTGTATTAAAAGCAAGTGAACATCATCTGTAAAGAATTCAACACGAACTTTTTTCTTTTTCCTTCTGTTATTTTATCTGTAAAATTTCCTCTTGGAAGGTGTGGTTCAAGTCTTTGGAAATATGACATTGTAAGCCTACTTATCATTTATCTCTGATTCATTTAAAACCTGATTGATCTAAGTAAATAGCAATACTATGAGCAGCTGAATTAGAATTTTAGCTTTGGTGGCTGAAAAGTGATGACCAACTATAATCAGCCTCTGACCAAGAAACTACAAAGTTCATTTATTTTGATATCAGCAGAACTCAAGGGGTAACAATTTGGGTTCACATTTTCGACTCTTATGGAGTCTTGGACTCTCCTTTTGTTTGAAGACTTGCATGGAAAGAAAGGCCTAAAATTAAAATACCGAAAACCATATTTGCAGTTCACTGAGCCTATATAAATATAAAACTTCCAGCTCTGAACGGATTCCTATAGCCTAAAAACAATGTATATATGCCAGCCAACTCTCTCAAGAATTGCCTGAGAAGACTTTCCCCATGTTAGCTAGATCATGGTTGAGTTTGACTTTTGAGCTACTTATTACACAAGATTCTTCCATGATTGCTGTTCCATGATAATATAAAACGCCAATGAACGGTGCCAGAAGACAAGCACACAAGTAAAATTGGAAACAAAGCTTTTCTACATTTGAAAATGATCACTTTGCCCTAAAGTCCAAACATGTTTTCTCCCTAAAGCATCCCTTCAACTACGTCAGTCCTATCAACATATACCACTTTCACAGCATCAGCCATACTGGTTCGAGGTGTGGTTAGTGAAGTTGAGGCCATAACCAGCCAGATCATTCCAAAACAACTCCAAACAATATTACTGTCTAAACTTGGAGGTCTTTTTTCAAGTCCACCTTCCCAAATGACTCTCCTCATTGATGAGTCTAATGGGTTCTCCATCAATGTACTGTATGAAGCTTCTAAATCTACTTACAGAATAAAATCACTACATCTATGGAGAGGCTTAAGGTTTCCAAGGTCCACGAGACAAGAAGAACGCGGTAGCCATAAACAAAGGCGAAAAGGTTATTGACAAATTTGAAGGAATCCAACTCAAGTGGGAAATCATAATGTTTACTTTGTTAATCATAATGCTAACCTTCTCTAAACTTGCCATCTTTATTCTGATTCTGGCTACACTAATGCTGATGATCTATTTTTACTGTCTTAGTGTCCCAGATTAGTAGGACAAGCCTATATTGGCTTTGATTTCTTTGTTATCTTTTCTGGTATGATTAATGTTTGAAGGCTTATCAAGGTCTTTTCTATATTCTGCCAACCCTCCCTGTTGGGAATTCGTTTTGTTTTCAAGTAAGTCACTTGTGACTTTGCTCTTTGTAAGTCTCCATTAGGAGATTTTTATAGTAATAAAATCCCAACCTTTCAAACAAAAAAAACCTCAAGTGGGAAATGACATTTGTTGAGACCAAGGACAATCATCAAGGCAAGTTTGAAAAAAGACTAATTGAGCTCAGTTTTCTAATAAATGCATGGAAAACGTACTAAGTTCTTACTTGCCATGTGTAATGGAGAGATCAAAAGCCATCAAAGAAGAAAATATGGTGGTGAAGCTTTTTTCACTGGGAAACTAATGTGGAGACAGGGAGGATAATAGTAGACCTATTAAAATGGGCCTAGTCCATCGAGTCGGTTTATTTTCTATTAATATTGAGGTGGACTGGATTAAAAAATTTAGTTCATTTTGAACTGGTATTAAATGGGTCAACCCACAAATTAATAGATTGATGTGAGCTGGGACAGAACCAGGTCAAAAAAAAATATTTTATATATTTAATTATGTAAAATTAATAATTTAGTTACCAATAATATTATTTATTTTATATATTTCAATGTCTTTAATCTTCACTTGTCAAATTAAAAATTTTAATTTAGATTAAAACTTATTATCTATTTTTCTTTTATGGTAATGAATATTAGATGATAAATTGATAATAATTCAAACCTTAACATCATTGCTGTCTAAACAAAATTTAAATGTTTTACTTGAGAATGAAGATTAAGGAGGATATAAATGAGTCTTGAAATTTTTATTATTTGATTATATACTTATGTTTATGAGATAGTAGTTTGTGTTAAAAATTTAAATTTTATTATGTAATTTATTTATTTTGTTATATTTAGTATAATTTATTTATTTGTAACATGTTTTTATTATTCAATTTATGAATTAAATCATAAAATAATTTTATTAATAAAAAATTTATCAAGTAGAATTATAAAAATTAATTTTTTAAAAAAAATAAAAATAAACTGATCTAATCTAACTAATGGGCTTAACAAGGGATGGACTCAATTGAAGTTTTACTGACTCATAATAAAAAATGGACTGATCCGGCCCAACTCATATTTTTTCAACTTACAAGGGCTGGGCCGGGCTGAGTCGAGCTGGGTCGGGTTGAGCTGAGCTGGGCCGGGTCAGCCCATATTGACAGCTCTAGACCATGGGGATCAGCAAATCTTGACCATCCAGCTTTTTTTGATTCATTGGCAATGGATCCCAGTCTCAAGAAAGAGTTAAAAACACGACTTGGACAGATTTGTTAGAAGAAGGATTTCGATAGAAGAGTTGGAAAAGCGTGGAAACGTGGGTACTTGCTCTATGGCCGCCCAGGAACAGGCAAGTCAAGCTTGATTGCTGCCATGGCCAACTACCTAAAGTTTAATGTCTATGACTTGGAACTTGCGAGTCTGTACAGCAATTCAGATCTTGGAAGATTGTTAGTTTCTACCAGAAACCGATCAATACTTGTGATTGAGGATATTGATTGCAGCATTGAGCTCCAGGATAGAGTGGACGGGGGGATGTAACCAGGGTAACAACCAGGTGAGATTGCAAGATTAAAAGTGTTTCATGCATAAATATTGATTGTGGTGTTTAGACACAATTAATCCTCCTTCCAATTTTAAGAATTCAAAGGGCATTTCATAGAGGAAGTTCTAACTCTAC